GGGCAGGCTCCGCGCGGGGGGACGGGGCGGGCGGACCGGGCTAACGGGGCTGGGCCGGCGTCGCGCTGATGTGATGAAGGGAGGATTAGACCGGGACTCGAGCGCACAAGCAGCACTACGGAGCCATAGCCGCGGCCCCGACCCGTGCACCCAGCAGCGCCACGTGGGGCTCCCACGCATGGATCTCACCCCCCCCCCCACCTCTCTTCTCTATCGGCTTCGGGCGCGCCCGCCAGCCGCGTCCAGCCGGTGAGCGCGAGCCGTGCGTCCGTCGGCCCGTTGCCGTGTGAGCGCCGTCCAACGGAATATCATCACTCACCTCACGATGGTGCAAATGGTGACGCGACGTCCGCGGAAAAAAAATGACGCGTTTGCAGACTTTCTGCCGCCTATGTGATTAGATTGCGTCCGCGTTTGCGCCTGCGCCGCTGGGGTAGCGGTGGGCGGGGTACGCTACGCGGCGTCGGGGTAAGCGGGGCGGGGGTACGTCGCCATGGTCGCCATCCCCGGCCAGCCCAAGCCCAGCCCCAGCGCAGCCCCAGCGCCGCCGCCGGCGCGCCCTCTGTCGGCGGCCACCCTGCCGCGGCGCCATGCCCTTTGCCCGCACCCCCGCCTCCCGGCCTGCACCGCCCCCTCCCTCCCGCACCCCCGCGCGAACAGGTGGCTCCGCGCGGCCCCGCCCCGCACCCGGCGCTGCGCTGGGGTGGTGTGTGGGTCCTCCCTGCCCGCCCGCCGCCGCCCGCCCCAGCCCAGCGCGCCGTAGAGGTAGGCAGGCGGGTGGCTCGGCGCGCGCGGGTGTCCGACGGGGTTGCCTACCCTGCAGGGCGCTCAGCCCTCCGCGCCGATGGAGCAAGGGAAGCACCGGCGCGTCGGGCGCTGTGCCGGCCTGGGCTACCCGCCCGCGGCCGGGGTGACCCGTGACCCCACGGGAGTGCAATTGGGCAGGTTGTTCCCCTCTCCTCCCACTAGACGGCGATGAGGCCGGCCCGGGCCCGCGGCGTTGCTTGCGCGCGCGGCATTGCTGTTGTGGCAGCGCTGTTGCCGCTTCGATGCCGGCCGGCGTGGCGGGAAAAAGTCGTCGTCCCTCACCCCCCCCTTCCCCCCTCGACCCCCCTCTCTCCAGTTGTGTGTCTCACGGCTAAGGAGGACTATTGCCGCAGACCGCCCTGCCCGCACCTCCAATAGCGTAATAAAGCCTTAGCCGCAACGAGTCGCGACGGGGACGGGTGCGCGCAGGAGTGCGCTCGCCTGCCTCCCGGCCTGGGCGCTTCCCTGAACCCCTCCCTGCCCTACCCTGCCCCTCTCCTGAGCCCCTGCCCGAAGCCCTAGGTTGGGTCCCAGTCTTGATTTCCTGCCCTGGACTCCTGACATAGGCTCCTGCTTCTGGGCGCTCCGCCGACGGCAGCGGGCAGACCACAATACCGCCGCGCACTTTCGTAGTTATACTGTACCGCATGCACGCGTGCGGGTGGGTTGCCTACCCGCACGGGGCCATAAGGAGCCGTGCGTTGCGAGCATAGGCAAAGCCCCCCGCACGGGTGCATGCGGTACAGTATAACTACGAAAGTGCGCGGCGTAAATCAGCCACCTGGTGCGTGCCGCGCCGCAGGGGACGGTGTAAGATGGCCACCTGGTAGAGAGCACCGTGCAGGGCAGAGGCGAGGGCTCCGGTGGGTCCGGGCCGGGGGAGGCTGGGGCAGGAAGGAGCAAGGCGCAGGGAGTGCAAGTGCGCCGTCGTGCCCCGCGCGCCGCGTCGCCGCGGCCCTTCCCCGTCCGCCACGCTCCGCTGCCTGCCCGCGCCTGCACCACGGTGCCGCTGCCGCTGCCGCCGCCACTGCTGCTGCTGCACCGTGTGCGCGCAGCAGCGGCCGAATCCGATTCCTTGCCGCAAGGTCGGCCGGCAGGGCGTGGCGGGGAGCGGTGACACACACACACACACATACGCACACACTCACAAATACACGCTCTGACATGAGTACGCCTCTCCAACACACCCAGAGGAGTCAGGAGGATTTGGTCGTCCCCGGCGACGTAGCCGCCTCCCGACCTGTCGGCGAGCCTGTCGGTCATGCGCCGGTGCGGAGTCACCCGCAGCCGCCATGCAGTGGCCATGCAGTGGCCATGCACACCTGCAGGAGGCGCGCTACTCCCGCGACCGCAGCTGCGCCCGGGCCTCGGCCTTGGCCTTCTTGCGGCCTCCGCGCCGGCCTCTGCCACGCTGCACGGAGATAAGGCGTGGGCCCCCCTCGGCTCTCTGCCCTCTCTGGGCCGGCGGCGGCCGCCCGCGCCTGCAGGGCTGCCATTGCTGACCCAGCGGCATGGCGTGGCCAGGTCGGCGCGGCGGGCGGCACAGCCGAGGGCCGAGCGGCCGAGCGGCCGAGCGACACGAGTCTGGTCGACGGAGGCAGAGAAAGGGTGGATGTGGCTGGACAAGCAGCAGCAGCAGCAGCAACTTATCTCGTAGCCTATCGCTCAGGCCTCGAAATCATTTCCTGCTGGCTGAAGTTTTCCGCCCGGTTGTCCGGTCCGCCTCCGGCCCCACCACTAGCCGGCCCGGCCGGCGCGCAGCACGTGGGCGCCGAGGGAGCGCTGGGCTCCGCGCGGGAGCTGGGAACGCCACCACCCCGTCCTGCTCCCGCCTCTCCCTCCCTCCTGCGGGCCGCTTTGTGCCAAGGCCGTTCGTGAAAATGACCGAAAATACACCCGTTTTGTTTGGGTACGCCGGGGGAGTGGGGCGAGGTGGCGCGCGCGCGCTCTCTCGTGTGTGTGATGGTCACACCCCGCCCTCCACACCGTGCAGTGCACGTACCCCTCCCCCGCCTCACCGGCCCCGCGCAGCCGAAGGGGGAGGGAGCGCACAGCACCGCGGCGCCGCGTCAGCCGAAAGCCGAATTGTAATTTTAGCCAACTATTTCAAGTCCACCCGCGAAAGTGAAGCTGCGGGGCGCGCGCGCGCGGGCGCGGCTCGGTGGGGCAGCGCGGTGGGGTGCGGCGGGGTCGGGGAGGGGGCTGGTATACTGTCCTGTACAGCCCCCCGCTGCAGGTGCTCCGCCCGCCCGCCACCGCACCCCACCCGCAGCTCTCCAGTTGGCCCCGCCCGGCTCATGCTTCTCATAGGCGAGCCCAATGCCCCCCTCGTGCTTCTGGCACCTCTGCGGCCTCGGGATCGTGGACTGCGTTGTTTTGTTGCTCATTATAATTGATCCCGTTCCCCTTTGTTTCGTGCCGGAAAAGGTTTTTGTTGTTTTGTTATTTTTTCCCCGCGTTTGCGGCGCTGCTGTGATATGCCCCTCTCTCCTACAGCATGAAGGGCTTTGGATGGAAAGGGTCAGGGTTCTTGTTTGCTTCTTCCTCCCTCCACTCCACCCTCGGCCCATCTTGGCCCCGGTGGTGAGTACACATACTCCATGATGGTGTGCACAGGCACGTCGCCGCGCGCGCGCGCGCCCTCCACGGTACACGATGACCCTTCTGGGCCTCGCCCCTCCCCCACTCCTCCCCCAAGGCAGCCCTGCACCACGCCAACTCCACCCTCGATAAAAGATGGATGGGAGGATACGCCCACGGCGGAGCGTGACACTGTGTGTGTGTGTGTGTGTGTGTGCGCGCGCGCGCCCCGTGACAGCGCGTGAGTGACGGCGCGTGGCGTGACGTGACCGTGCCGCGTGGCCAGCGCGGCTCCACGTCGCAGAGCGCCTCTCTCTTTCTCT